CACGTCAACGGGAAAGACACATTCCGGACAATGGCAAGTCCACAGAAAATCCATGGGAAATCCTCGGTGGAACTCCCCCCGGAGGCTCGGATTCTGCGTGGTTCTTTTCGTGACCGTCTCTCGGCTCTCCGTGCCCGACAAAAGCTTTCCTTCTCTCTCTGACTCACGGCCGGCGCTATACTCGCGTCTCGCTCGCTCTCGCTCGAGGGACCGCTGGAAGCCTTCGACCGTACCTTCGGTTGAACCCTCGTAACTTCCATCTCCTTCTTCTCATCTCTCTCTGCCCGACGGAACAGGCGTAACCCCGTCTCCGTCCATCCTGTGGGAACTCGCGTTTCCTCCTTGTCAGCCCGGCGAGCCGGGATTGACTCGTACATCCTTCCTTCTTCCTCCATGGGTAGTTCCCGTAAATCTGTCCCTCTCCGCCTTAAGAAACAGCCCTCGCTTCTCCTTCGTTCCACGCCTCCGTGCCCTTTTTCTCCTCTACCCCGGGGCGCCTTCCTTCCACTCTCCCTCTCTCTCTTCTCCCTCTTCGCGCCAATGACTCCGTCTCGGTCTTTCCCTCGCGGTGCGATTTCTTACATGACCGAGTGCGACGTCTCTCTCGCCCTCGTCCAGTCACCAATCGCGTTTTCTCGCTCGGCGCCGCGACTCGCCGCGCGGCTTTCGGATCGGCGATCGACGCCTTTATCGCGATAATCAATCACAGGATATTAAAGTAAATTTCATTACAAGCTGCGCCCGCGGTTGTCGGATCGACTAGACGACTGGCTAGCAAAAGAATTTCAATCGGTCGTGTCTATTTTTTTTCCCCCCCTTCGTTCTGAATGCGAAAAATTAAGCAACGTGATTGATGGGCCATATCTTCTCGATTAAATCAACGGAATTGCGGTACGGAGATTTTCTTTCTTTTTGGGGACCCCGGTAAATCGCCGATTCGTGGATAAGTGCTAACGTAAATCGCTGGTCGGTGAATTTTATGGCTGAGTCTAAAGTTTAGAGGTACCGATGAAGACGATCGCCATGATGGCGTCGCAACGATGGCGACACTCTGTGGCGCAAACGGGCGCAGTTTCTCCGTGGCAGAGCGGAGCGATATTACGGAAAACTTCGGCGCTTTACGTTGGCGCGAGAGAGTCTCGTAAATAAAACGTAAGGAGAATATAAAACACGAACTCGATACGTATTACTCGCCGGTATATAACCATTACGTTGCGGCAGAACGTCCCGCCGCCATTATATTACACCACCGGCAACCAACCACGGGTGCACGGCAAATCGATACGGAAGCTCCTGTGACGGCGTTTCCGAAAGGCATTCCGTTGATTTACCACGTCTTTCAATTTTCGTTTCTGCTGACTCGTGAGCCAAACCAGGTCTTGAATAAAACCCGTAGAATCCTGCAGCTACGCCGAACAGGAAGGTACTACGTTTCCAACTTGATGTCGACATTTATTTGAGTTGCGATACATAATGCCTACATATTCGTTTTTGATAATTATTACGTTGCCGCGTTTCCGCTCTCTAGACAATTAATATAATTTAAAAACTATTTTTTCCTCAAATAACACCAGCATAATATTTTCTTCGTTTATACGTGAACATATTGCAAGGAAATAACAAACGTCGCGTTTATGTCATTCCAAATGCACCGAAAGGTTTAAATACGTCTTCATTAAAACGCGCTCCATTTTTAGTTCAGTTATTAAAATGTCGTTCAATGAATAAACGTATAGTAAGCGTCATCGGGGGACGTAGATCTATTTTCCGCCTCCTCCTCGGGGGTGACATCAAAATTCAATGAGCAGGACTGACGTCAATAAAGATGACGTGAGGAAGTGGTCATAGCACCTAAACGGTCGGCCATCTTGCCTCCTTTGGCGTCTTTTGTTTCTACGGTGGGTAAAACTCAAAAAGCAAGTAATGCCAGCTTGCCGAGGGTGGCCATAAAATAGTTACGACCGAGACCCACCTCCCGGAGGGAGGTCGCCCCTCTTGGATGGGAGGGACTCCGAGTTTTCGGAGTACACGTGGAGAGTTAACCTCTCCTCCCGCCTCCTTTCGCCCTTCCGACCTTCCAACCCTATTCTCTCCTATGTCCATGGTCGATGGTCACGCCAGGCTGTCCCTCGCAGCTGCGAGGCGCGCCCACGTGCGCACGTGCGCACGTGCGCGTGCACACATGCGCAAGGGCCTCGGGTCTCTAGGAAACGCGACCGTGCGAGCGCATGATCGGTTTCCATTGGCCGTTTCGAACTCGCTGCCGAATGGCGGATCACTGGAGTAACCAACCATGGAAAGGGATACGCCAAAGGCTTGTACTAATCTCCTTACGCCATTGTAGTGATTTACCCGAACTTGAAATGTATACGTGCATACGTGTCGCAACCGCTTATCGTAGTCGTTCAATTTCATAGAGGGAAAATGTATTTTTCTCCACTTAACGAAAATCCCTGAAAAACTATTAGATGAATTGGTTTGTATAAAAAATGGAGATGTTTCGGACCTCCGGAATTTTTCCGTTCCCGTTTTCTCTTTCCGACGTGGCATGTATGTCATCCGACTCCCGGAGACGGTGAAATAGTTTCATCCTGGAATAGCACTGATTACGCTCTGTTGTGTGCATTGTACATTATGGAATGTAACTCGGGCAGCTTCTGCAATTATGGAAGCCAGGCATAAACTCTGCCATTTGCATTTCACATCGCCATTGTGATCTCGACCTCCCGAGCGAATCGCTACTATGCCGTCATATTCTCCGCTACCTCCTCCTCCCACTTCTCCTCTTCCTCCGACCCCGTCGTCACCTTGTCCGCTACCGTTGCTACTTTCTGTTACCGTAGTCACTTTTCCCACTAGTTTCCCCGCCGTCGCTGCATTTTCCGCCACCTTTGCCATCGCCAGTATTTCCTTAATCACAATCGATTCCATCACCCTTATCGAGCCGCCTACCCCTTTCCGTAATCCGCTAACATAACCTCTTGCATCCCTCGCCGTTAGATTCGTCCTACGGATACGAAGCCGTAATCGTAAAGCACTCGCATCTCTCATCTTTACTCATAATTCATGGACAGGCCACCGAGCGAGGAGTTACAGCCAGCGAGGTCTTTACCTGTGGATCACGGAATAACTTGATCACCAACCGAACAGACTCACCTACAGAGAACTTTTCTTCACCCTACCAGGGACTTTCCAAGCGATAGATTAAACCCATACCGCGAAATCTCACTTTTTACTAAAGTGACCTAATGGAACCTCTTCCATGTCACAATTTAGAGGTTTTTCAGCCCCAATTATTCACCATCCGAATTTGTTTAGAGTCCTCAAATTCGTAAAAAATTCCTACTCTCCTTGTATTTGTAAATGAAACATAGAAATTCAGTAGAGTGTTACTTTCTGTGCAATAAACTGATACCCTCGGATAGATACCACAGGCCCGCCTGATATTTTTACTCCGATTTTTCTGTACACTCGGGAGTTGCGCCGAATACCTTTTAAGGCATTTCTGGGTTTAATGCGAAACCCCATTCAATCCTCGGTCTCCGTTCTCCACGGCCCGTGGAATTGCATTTACGGAAAATTCCCAAAGAGCGCGCTTCGGGTCTCCCGATGGAGGCGAGAGGGCATCGAGGTGCACTCGCGCTCGCACGCGGTGACGCTCGCATTGCGTTCTCTTTGCACTCGCCAACAACTCGCGCGTGCAGTCGAATGAACGGAGAGCAATGCAGAGCTGCGATGCGATAGGAAGTTTATTCCGCCGAGCTCGTAAAGTCGGTGCGAGCGTGATTTCACCGACCGGAGCTCTCGCACGCCCCGCGTATAAATCCCGTCGAATCTGCTGAACGATACGTAACTACGTGCCGGACGTTAATTAGGGGTTTCTACTAATTGCCGTCGGATGGCCCAACCTGGCCTCCCTCTTCCTCGCGCCGAAAGCCTCGGCTTCGCTCTCGGCCTCCGTCGATCGCAACCCCCGACGGCTTTATCGAATTATCGACCGCCCTTTTGCCCTCGCCCTCGAGTGCACCGACTTTTTCCCGTTCCACTCTCCCCGGCTCTCTTGGGTCCGCCACTTTTGACACGACACGCCCCTCGCGACACCGAGCGGAGCTTTTCCGAACTAGACTTGAAGGTGCGCGTGGAGAGATCGAGGATCGGATGCGATAATGGGTTCGTGATTGATGTCTACGTTTTGTGGCAGGCGATGGGAAATTTCCGGAAATTTGAAAATTTACTGCGAATGAGGTCGCACTTTAAGACGAAAGTTATTTAATAATCGATGAGATACGTGAGAGGTTTACTTTGAAAACTAAATCGGTACAATAGTTATCTTTTCGGGAGGAACAGGGCTCGGGGAATTTCGAGGAGAGAACAATGGTTTTGGATGGGTTAAAATTAGATTCCGAATGCAGAGCGACTTTCTTTTTATTAAATAGATCTTTCTTTATTAGGTGTTACAGTTGTCACCTTATAATTACCTTGTTTTCCAGCTGGAGTAAATTAACTTTACGATAGTGTTAAAGCGTAATAGTACCTGTTATTAATGCCACTATTATTTTCTTTTACGTCACCTATATTTCGTATAGTTCCCTATCTGACCGATACCTACTAATTATAAGAATTTGTCATAATTGCGGATACGATCTGTCTGGTTTTAACATATTTCGTCTCGGGCTCAGAGTTGATTCAAATAGAATCGTTTTGAGTTATGCAAGCCATCTGTGAGCCGAACCTGTGCTATAATGGTATCTGGCTACAGAAATACATGCAGTGCGATTAAATCGTGAAATCCGATTCGGGAAAATTAGAAATAGTTTAATACCACTTTTTACGTACTGTCTGTTATCGTGGTATGATGTAGCCTTGTTCATAAGCACTGTTGTTCTCCTTTTATGCGTTCTTTGTTCTTTCTTCTCAGCACTTGAGGGACCAAAACTATTGGCCATTAGTATTTGGATTTTTTTGGAAATCGGTTTCCTAATTGGCATCTCGTGTTTCAGGACATGTCCGACATGTGTGTCGGTACCAGTGTGGGGACCATCACGGAACCCGAGTGTTTGGGACCATGTGAACCAGGTACCTCGGTAACCCTGGAAGGCATCGTTTGGCACGAAACTGAAGGAGGTGAGGACCTATTACGGCTCGAAAATTTTGCCCAGCACCAATTGGAACCGGTCCCGAACAAATATAACCCGTGAGAACGGTTTCCTACAATGGACGTTCTCTGTGGGTTCTAGCCACAATCTTTAACCGTTAGCAATCCACCCTAAAATGACGTCAAATCGGGTCATCAGATCAGATCACGATTAAATTATTTTCCCAAATCGCGGTTCGAGTTATCTTAGAAGTCCAAATTTATGTGAATATACTTGAAAAAAATGATGTTGCATTAATGATAGAATCGGTATTGTGAAAATGATGAAAAAACCTTAAAGAATATCGGTTCAAATCTAACGTGTCATTTTATCAATATCAGTAAAACGTGGTTATTTTTTTTTTTTATAATTTGAATATAAACTGATTTATGTTACATTTTTTAACACGTCGATGAATTCAATGTCAAGTTTAGATACTCAATTTTAGGATGATTTTGTACATCACGTCTCTGTATACCCGTCCTTATGCTCGTTTATCTTGTACTCTCCTGTTCTTCATTCGTCCGATCTTATCTTTTTCCTATCTTTGAATAGTATTGGATTCCTGCCGATCGTTTTGACCCCATGCTCACCAGTGTTCACACGAGCGATTAATCGTTCAAACTGATAAACAATCGGCGAATCGGCCTTTATGAATCGACACGAAGTCGACGCTGATCTCGCTCCATGATCGCCTGCACATGGAAGTAATTTGCACTTCGCAAATGCGGCCGATACGCATCGGCAGATTACAGTCGAGATTCCGGTGCATTTTCTCGACTGGACTGTAAAGTCTTAGCACGATGTTTGGTATCGTGCAGCACGCCGCACGATCGAATTTTTCCTCTCGTCGGATAGTTGAATTTATAGTACAAAGTAGTTGTACGGAATGGGAGCAAAGACTCCACGAGATCGGTCATGTGATAGTGCTTTAGCGCGGATTTCACGATCGACGCGAAGGTTCTTTTTTAAAAATAAACATCGAATAAAAATAGCCTCGTTTCGCGTAACATTGAAAACTTTAGCTATGTGAAACTGGAATCCAGTTTGAGACACAAACAAAATTAACAGGCTTATTGGAATGTTTCTGTGATGCAGACGTTTGCGTCATGCTGAATTTTGTTTGTTTGCACTTTTTTTCAACCCAGAGCTGATCAAAATGATAAACAAATTCCGAAATCCTGGAAATTTGGATTTTTCGACTCTAATGGGTTCTCTGATGTTAGGAAAATTCAGAGCCTCCCAAAACCTCGAAAACGTTAAAATGGTCATTTTCGAAATTTGATAATTTTTTTTTAGTAGCTCCGGTTTTTGTACAAAAAAAATGTCACAAACGTCTACATCACAGAAACATTCCAATAAGCCTGTTAATTTTGCTTGTGCCTCAAACCAGATTCCAAATTCACACAGCCGAAAACTTTGCTGTTATAAATAGCGAATCCGGCAAAACGGGAAACAAAAAGGTCCCACACTTTATTACTGAACGTGTTTTCTCCTTTATATGGTAATCGATTTTAATTCAAGTGAATATTAATTATTCCTCATTTTTTGACTTTTTATTTCTTTTACAAAATGACTTACAGTTTAACCGAAAGTGATTGTTTCTTTGAAATAGTCATTTATTTGAAATTGACGTTAACTTCTAATCGATTGGTTCGAGTATCGTCGGAATTTTACCCGCCTCGTGTAGCAACGTAGATAGTTAACCATCTTCGTTTTAGTCTCGCACGATACGTTAAATGCATAGGTGAGAACAGTTTTGAATACAGAGTATGCCGTATCAAATTTTGCGGTTATGTAACATTGGTATAGTCTTCTCGCGTATTATTGGATGGAATATGCGGGAGGTCGGTGGGTAGAACAAACCGAGCACTCGATTATCCTGGGGCGAAACACTCCCTGCTTTCGCATATATTTGAATGAGAAATTAATTCGCCCTCTCTCGGTACTCCGGCTAAGAGCCTCTCTCTCGCTCCAGTCGGCATTTCGTGTTAATCTGGACCGCCTTCAACATCATGATCTTATTTCCTTATGCATCGCTTCGGTAAAATAAAAATCAACGCGGCGCTTATTGTTTCCTTCAGAAGTTATCAGTGTGCCCTTTCTGCACATCGTGCGACAATAAAAAATTCTCCACGCGGTAAAAGTTAAAAAAAGAAAAAAGAAAAAAAGAACCAACGGCAAATACGTAACTCCAGCGATGGCCTTTAGAACTTTGAAGTATAAAAGACAAGGTTATCGAGTCGTTAAATTAGTCACGTAATGGTAGAAGTAATCATTTTCACGTAGGAGTGCAGTATTAGCTGGGAAGGAGGACGTATAGAATCGACATTTTGATCACTAATACTTCTCGAATTGACGTCTTCACGTTATTCAGTTTGCGCGTAGAGGCGTGTTTCTAACAACTTTTTACCGCCATTAGATTACGCTTGTGAGAGAAAAAAGGAAAACGGGATTTAAATCATGTGGTCATTGAATAGCTTCGGGTCTTTCGGAAACACCTCATTAGGCGTCTGGAAACACTTTACGTACTCGATTACCTTCGGGTATTATAGGTGGGAAATAATTGGAGCCTCTTCAAAAAGTGACAGCTCTTGGCCCAAGGGCTATTCCGACGTTCCCTGGTATTCGTGATACTCTCGATAGGCTTGTTAAAAAATCTTCGTTGACCGCGCGCTTAAAAGCAAACTTAGCGCTTTTACATTTTGCTCCCACTTTTACGCCCTTTCTATACATACACGTGCATCCGTACCTTCACGTATCAAAATGAAAGAAAAAATCTAAAATGAAAACTAGACTTAAATAAAACATTCCGATAGCCATAACGTTCCGAATGTTTTAAGTCACTTCAATGTACTTTCGACTTCAATCGAAATTATTTGGGACCGGTAAAAGTCTACTTGTATAGAGTACGGTGAATCCTTTTAAGCTCAATTATTCTCTCGGTGGAAATGTCATGCGCTAAGTGGAAAATAATTTAAGGCGTTCGAAACTGGACAGCGTTCGGCCTCGAGGTTTATTTGCCATTCCGGCGGATGATCGATATTTTTAATAATTTGTTGGCCTTCGAACGATATTGCCTCGGTCCATGCTAGCTAGTCGGTAATGGCACACGCACTTGCGCACGCGTTCGCTCGATGGCTCACGAACGCACCTCCACTACTCGACGCAACACGAGGAAGGTAGCTTGTCAGACAGGCATTATACGTAATGCCGCAGCACTCCTCGTAGTCGTCGAGCTAAAACTACATAGCTACACGTCTTCGACGAGATCTCTCTCTTAGCATCTTCCTCGGTAACCGCCCATGCTTGTCCCTGCCCTGGTTTCCTCGGATCAAAATCAGCATTAGAATCATTCTCGGAGGTGTTAATACCCTCTATTACCGCAAATCTCCGCTTTAAGTGAAAATTTACACGATGGAAAGAATTTTGAATTGTGAAGGACAAGGGATCATTAACGATCGTTGAACACGCCACGCTCAATGGGATTTCATTTTATCACCATGATGAAGATTAACGATAACGATATTGGAGGTATCACGCCAAAAAAAAAAAAGAAAAGATGAAACAATTTAAACCTATACGAAAAATAGAAATTGAAGTATCGTTATATTTACACAGTAGAAGACTCATTAATTCTCTTGGTCGACAACCACGCGAGAAAATATCCGAGAAATTAACTCGGGAAAAGGAGGTGAAATATGCTCGTATCTTGCTCTTTCTCCGTTTCGCTGGATTGCAGATGTTCCGTGCTTATCGAATTTATGCATCATCAAATGTAACATACTCAACTAACGGTATATCAAGATTCTAATCTCCGGAGAGATCTAATTCTTCGGAGAAATACTATACTCAACGAGAATAAATTATTTTCATTTCATTTCGTGATTGCGCAATATAAAAAAAAGTGCTTTACGCATAGCTCAGAACCGAGGGATTTCCGCTGGAACCATGTTTCGACATTGCGTAACCGTTTAAACGGGAAACTGAATTGATCTCGAATAATGGATGCGATTACGGGACAGTCGGTTGTCACGGTCGTGTTTGCCTGGCCGACAGCAAGCTTTAACAATGCCTAATGGTTTATCGTTAACGCTGAATCGTCGTTACTCGTGGCATCCTTCAAAGCCGGAAACGAACAGACGGTATTTTTTTTTTCCTGGAAAAATCGCGGAAATCCCGTTGCGAAGTGCGTTCCATCGCGCCCCAGCAGATATTCCCACGGTTCGTCCATCGACCGTGACGGGAGAGGACGAATCCGTCCGCGTGTAGGTCGGGTGTACACGGTTATGAGGACGTATACGTATGTACATCATGCGTATACCCTACCTCCGTGGCCACATGCACTTCCATCCGCGGACTTATTATTATTTATCGTGTGGCTACCGAACATGGTACCGAGGAAACCATGGTACCTGCGCAGGTGGTAAGGGTGTACACTGACGATGGATGCGATTCGGCTACTGAACATGGAACCGAGGAAACCATGGTACCTGCGCAGGTGGTAAGGGTGTACACTGACGATGGATGCGTACAGGTGTACCATTACCTCCCTCACGCGTGCAGGACGTACACGCCGCGGGTGCGTTCCGAGTCAGTTCTTACGGCACCGCATGAAAATAGAGAGCAAGGTGTACCGTGAAGTCATTGATATCTGAAATGCCGAGACAGAGACTCACTTCATGACAGGAAGTGTCATAACGAGGCGATAATTAAGACCATTTTCATTAAGTATTACGAAACCGTTTACTCGCCGGAAAAATAACGAAACTTGATACAAGGCTCGATTCAAACATACCATATGACGGGTCGTTCCGCCATCTTGTTATTTTTGGATAGGTAGTGCTGGCGTGTATGAGAATTATGAATAATCCTTGATGATGACAACTGTACTTAGCGAGGCATTTTCGGTTAATCAGTTACCGTACTCGGATATATTTGCGGCAGAATTTCAGACGGTTCTTAGTACAGATTTCAAAAGTAAAAATT